GGAAAGGGGCTGGAGTTTAGGGGCCCAGTCTCCCCCATCTCAAGGGGGCCTGAGGCATCCTAGCCCAGCTCTGTGACCAGACTACATCTGTGCTGTGCTGTATCCTGGAGAGGCAATAAACTTCCTCTAGCCCACCGGCTGGTGCAGTCTGTTTGTGCCATTTCGGGGTGCAGGAGACGGGGGACCCCCAACGCGCCGTCACAGCAGGTGACTGGTTTCTGCTGTGAACGCTGATGTCTTGCCCAAGACCTGTCCAGGACGCTAATGAAAACAGCCATGACGCCCTTCGCCTCCGTGCCTGCCTCTGTCCCAGCGGTGGCAGGTGTGGGGCGGCCCTGCAGCACTCTCCCATGCGCTCCCTGCCATCTGTGATCAGCCCTGCAAGTAAGGACGGCTCTGCCCCGCTGCCTGGGCCCGCGAGTCCCTGTGGTCCTATCCCCATTTCTCCTCTGCCCTGCTTGCCCTCTCTGGGCTCGGTCAGGGCGTGGTCTCCCCTGCAGTGGGGCAAATCGGCCAGAGCGCTGCTGGGCTGGGTTGTGCACCGTCCCGCCGAGCCTGGGCCCAAGGCGCAAACGGCCGTGCCCGTGCCCCAGCAATGGGGCCTGCTGGCCCTGGGGAGCCAGGCTGGGGTGGCCTGGGGAGCCAGGAGTGTTCTGCTGGGGTGTCGAGGAGCCAGGAGAACTGGCCAGGACCTGCCTGGCAGCTGCTGGGGGTGAAGCTCCCGCATGTAAAGGCTTTGCTGGTATGGGGGTGCTGTCGCTGGGGCCTTCTTCCGGGCCTAGCCAGCCTGAGAAGTGATTTCTTGCCCTGCTTCTCCAGGCCGACCGACCCTCCCCTCCCGTTCGCTCGGAGGCCCGGGCCATTTCAGACGTGCTCAGACCCATGTCTCTGCAGTAACATTTTCATTTGTGAGGGGGCTTCTGTGCCCTGGGATGTGCGTCTCCCAGAGCCACCTCCAGGGCCCTGGGACTGCGGGAGGGGTCTAGCAGGCGTGTCTGTCTTTGGAGATGCCCTTGCACAGAGCACGTCAAGCCATAGTCTAAAGAACACCCCTTCTGTGTGGGTAGCGGCCTCTCCTCCTTCCCTCCCACATAGTCTGAAGCAGGGCTGGGCAATCAGTTTTGACGGGAGCCGCTCGAAGATGTTGGCAAGTGGTCGAGGGCCGCGCTCTTCCATGCTAGCAATGGAGATGCAGGGTCCGCAATGGAGGCTTGGGGGAAGGGACCGGGGTGCAGGAGGGAGACTGGAGTCTGTGACCTAGGGCAGGGGACTGGCGTGCAGGGGTTTGGGATGTGACCTAGGGTAGGAGGGGACTGTGATCTGGGGCAGGAGACTGGGGGGCCAGATCTGGGAGGGGGTGTGGGTGGAAGAGGGGGACAGAGGGTTGGGGTATGTTGGGTGGGGGGGCAGAGAGTTGGGGCAGGACAGGCCTGGGGGGGCAGACGCAGGGCGCGGGCAAACGAACT